TTCCTGACTCCCGGCGTTGTTCCCCATTTGCGGTGTTGCTGTTCCCCATTCCCGGTGTTTCCGTTCCCCATTCCCAGTGTTTTCCCCCCCGTTCCCGCTGTTGATTCCCGGTGTTTCCCGGTGTTTCCGTTCCTGACTCCCGGCGTTGTTCCCCATTCCCGGTGTTTCCGTTCCCCGTTCCCGCTGTTCATTCCCGGTGTTTTCCTTTCCTGACTCCCGGCGTTGTTCCCCATTCCCGGTGTTGCCATTCCCCGTTCCCAGTCTTCATTCCCGGTGTTGCTGTTCCTCATTCCCGGTGTTTTTCCCCGTTCCTGGTGTTGCCGTTCCCCGTTCCCGCTGTTCATTCCCGGTGTTTCCCCCCCCGTTCCCGCTGTTCATTCCCGCTGTTCATTCCCGGTGTTTTGCGTTGCTGACTCCCGGCGTTGTTCCCCATTCCCGGTGTTTCCGTTCCCCGTTCCCGGTGTTCATCCCGGTGTTTCCCCCCCCCATTCCCGGTGTTTCCTTTCCTGACTCCCGGTGTTTTTCCCGCCGCCAGGTCGGAGCTGAACGAGCACCTGGACACGATCGACTCCAGCCTGGACAATCTGCAGGCGCTGCTCAGCACCCACGGCTTCAGCATGGACAGCGCCCTGCTCGACGTGAGAGACAGCCGGAAACACCGGGAAAATCCCGGGAAAAACACCCGGAATGCCCGGGAATTCCCACTGGGAACTCCCGGAATCCCTGTGGCCCAGTGGGAATTCCTGGGAATCCCCGGGATCCCGGCCCGTTCCCAGTGGGAATTCCCAGGATAAATCTGTCCCTGCTCGACGTGAGAGACAGCCCGCAACACCGGGAAAATCCCGGGAAAAACACCCAGAATGCCAAAAAATTCCCACTGGGAACTCCCAGAATCCCAATGCCCAATGGGAATTCCTGGGATCCCGGCCCGTTCCTATTGGGAATTCCCAGGATAAATCTGTCCCTGCTCGACGTGAGAGACAGCCGGAAACACCGGGAAAATCCCGGGAGAAACACCCGGAATGCCTGGGAATTCCCACTGGGAACTCCCGGAATCCCTGTGCCCAATGGGAATTCCGGGGAATTCCCGGGATGGCGGCCCGTTCCCAGTGGGAATTCCCAGGATAAATCCGTCCCTGCTCGACGTGAGAGACAGCCGGGAACACCGGGAAAATCCCGGGAGAAACACCCGGAATGCCTGGGAATTCCCACTGGGAACTCCCGGAATCCCTGTGCCCAATGGGAATTCCGGGGAATTCCCGGGATGGCGGCCCGTTCCCAGTGGGAATTCCCAGGATAAATCCGTCCCTGCTCGACGTGAGAGACAGCCGGAAACACCGGGAATTCCCGGGAGAAACACCCGGAATTCCCAGAAATTCCCACTGGGAACTCACCAAATCCCTGTGCCCAATGGGAATTCCTGGGAATTCCCGGGATCCCGGCCCGTTCCCAGTGGGAATTCCCAGGATAAATCTGTCCCTGCTCGACGTGAGAAATTCCCAGGATAAATCTGTCCCTGCTCAACATGAGACAGCCCGCAACACCGGGAAAATCCCGGGAAAAACACCCGGAATTCCCAAAAATTCCAACTGGGAACTCACGGAATCCCTGTGCCCAATGGGAATTCCTGGGAATTCCCGGGATCCCGGCCCATTCCCAGTGGGAATTCCCAGGATAAATCTGTCCCTGCTCGACGTGAGAGAGAGCCCGCAACACCGGGAAAATCCTGGGAAAACACCCGGAATTCCCAAAAATTCCAACTGGGAACTCACGGAATCCCTGTGCCCAATGGGAATTCCTGGGAATTCCCGGGATCCCGGCCCATTCCCAGTGGGAATTCCCAGGATAAATCCGTCCCTGCTCGACGTGAGAGCCCCAACACCGCAATTACCGGGAAAATCCCAGAAAAAATACCGGGAATTTCCAAAAATTCCAACTGGGAATTCCTAAAATCCCCAGTGCCCAGTGGGAATTCCCGGGATAAACTCTTCCCTGTTGGACGTGAGCCTGAGATTCCCAAAATTCCCAGAAAAAATATCGGAAAAAATCCCAGAATTCCCAAAAAATTCCAACTGGGAACTCCCAAAATCCCCAGTGCCCACTGGGAATTCCCAGGATCCCAGCTCATTCCCAGTGGGAATTCCTGGGACAGGGAATTCCCATCCCGGGAATTCCGGCATTCCCATGCTTAGGACAGATTTTTCCTGGGAATTCCCTGGCTGGGGATGAGATTTTCCTGGGAATTCCATCATTTGCCCAATGGGAATTCCTGGGAATTCCCGGGATCCCGGCCCGTTCCCAGTGGGAATTCCCAGGATAAATCCGTCCCTGCTCGACGTGAGAGCCCCAACACCGCAATTACCGGGAAAATCCCAGAAAAAATACCGGGAATTTCCAAAAATTCCAACTGGGAATTCCTAAAATCCCCAGTGCCCAGTGGGAATTCCCGGGATAAACTCTTCCCTGTTGGACGTGAGCCTGAGATTCCCAAAATTCCCAGAAAAAATATCGGAAAAAATCCCAGAATTCCCAAAAAATTCCAACTGGGAACTCCCAAAATCCCCAGTGCCCACTGGGAATTCCCAGGATCCCAGCTCATTCCCAGTGGGAATTCCTGGGACAGGGAATTCCCAGGATCCCAGCTCATTCCCAGTGGGAATCCAGTTCTCAGGACAAATTTTTCCCGGGAATTCCGGCATTCCCATGCTTAGGACAGATTTTTCCTGGGAATTCCCTGGCTGGGGATGAGATTTTCCTGGGAATTCCATCATTTCCATTCTCAGGGTGGGATTTTCCCGGGAATTCCATCATTCCCATTCTCAGGGTGGGATTTTCCTGGGAATTCCATCATTCCCATTCTCAGGGTGGGATTTTCCCGGGAATTCCATCATTCCCATTCTCAGGGTGGGATTTCCCCCGGAATTCCATGACTCAGGTCAGATTTTCCTGGGAATTCCATCATTCCCATTCTCAGGGTGGGATTTTTTCCAGGAATTCCCTGGCTGGGGACTGGATTTTCCTGGGAATTCCCTGGCTGGGGACTGGATTTTCCCAGGGAATTCCATCATTCCCATTCTCAGGGTGGGATTTTTCCAGGAATTCCCTGGCTGGGGGTGGGATTTTCCTGGGAATTCCCTGGCTGGGGGTGGGATTTTCCCAGGAATTCCATCATTCCCATTCTCAGGGTGGGAATTTTCCCAAGGAATTCCCTGGCTTGGGATGGGATTTTCCTGGGAATTCCCTGGTTGGGGTTGGGATTTTCCTGGGAATTCCCTGGTTGGGGGTGGGATTTTCCTGGGAATTCCCTGGCTGGGGGTGGGATTTTCCCAGGAATTCCATCATTCCCATTCTCAGGGTGGGATTTTCCCGGGAATTCCCTGGCTCAGGACAGATTTTTCCCAGGAATTCCGGAATTCCTGGAGTCAGGACAGGTTTTTTTCCCAGGAATTCCCTGGCTCAGGACAGTTGGGATCAGGGCTGGGATGAGGATTGGGGCTGGGATTGGGATCCAGGATTGGGATCAAGATCAGGATCAGAGCTGGGAGTGGGATCAGAATCGGGGCTGGGATTGGGATCAGGATTGGAATCGGGATCTGGATTAGGATTGGGGCTGGGATCAGGACTGGGATCAGGGCTGGGGTCGGGATTGGGATTGGGATCACGGCTGGGATTGGGGTTGGGATTGGGATCCAGGATCAGGGATTGGGATTGGGGCTGGGATCGGGATTGGGATTGGGATTGGGGCTGGGATTGGGATCCAGGATCAGGATTGGGATTGGGGGTTGGATCAGGGCTGGGATCAGGATTGGGGCTGGGATTGGGATCCAAGATCAGGGATTGGGATTGGGATTGGGGGTGGGATTGGGGCTGGGATCGGGATTGGGGCGGGATTGGGATTGGCATCGTAAATGGGACTGGGATTGGGATCATGAGTGGGACTGGGATTAGGATCAGGATTGGGATTGGGGCTGCAGTTGGGATCGGGATTAGGATTGGTGTCAGGGTTGGGATTAGGATCAATGCTGGGATTGGGATTTGGATTGGGAGTAGGGCTGGGATTGGAATCAGGATCAGGACTGGGATTGGGATCGGGATTAGGATTGGGGCTGGGATCAGGTTTGGAATTGAGATTAGGGCCAGGATCACTAACTGGGATTGGGATTAGGTCTGGGATCAGGATCAGGGCTGGGATTGGGATCGGGGCTGGGGTTGGCATCCAGGATCAGGATTGGGATTGGAATTGGGATTTGGATTGGGATCGGGGCTGGGAGTTGGATTGGACCTGGGATTGGGATTTAGGATCAGGATTGGGATCAGGACTGGAATTGGGTTTGGGATTGGGGCTGGGAATTGGATTGGGGCTGGGATTGGGATCAGGGTTGTGATTGGGATCCAGGATCAGGATTGGGATCGGGATCAGGGATTGGGGCTGGGATTGGGATCGGGGCTGGGATTGGGATCCAGGATCAGGATTGGAATCGGGATCAGGGATTGGGGCTGGGATTGGGATCAGGATCTGGGATTGGGATCAGGGTTGGGATTAGGATCCAGGATCACGATTGGGATCGGGATCAGGGATCGCGGCTGGGATTGGGATCCAGGATCAGGATTGGGATCGGGATCAGGCTTTGGGGCTGGGATTGGGATCCAGGATCAGGATTGGGATCGGAATTGGGATTTGGATTGGGATCAGAGCTGGGAGTTGGATTGGACCTTGGGATTCGGGATCAGGATTGGGATCAGGGATTGGAATTGGGATCGAGATTGGGATTTGGATTGGGATTGGGGCTGGAAATTGGATCGGGGCTGGGATTGGGATCCAGGATCAGGATCAGGATTGGGATCAGGGTTGGGATTGGGATCCAGGATCAGGATTGGGATCGGGATCAGGATTGGGGCTGGGATTGGGATCAGGATTGGAATCGGGATCTGGATTAGGATTGGGGCTGGGATCAGGATTGGGATCAGGGCTGGGGTTGGGATTGGGATTGGGATGAGGATTGGGGCTTGGATTGGGATCCAGGATCAGGGATTGGGGCTGGGATTGGGATCGGGGCTGGGATTGGGATCCAGGATCAGGACTGGGATCGGGATCAGGGATCAGGATCAGGGCCAGGATCCATGGATCATGGCACCAGCTCCGCCCCATTCCGGGATTTTCCTCTCCGGGATCATTTCTGGGAACGTTTGGGATGAGCAGGGGCTGGGTTTGGGATTCCTTTAAAACCCAAAAACCTCGGAATCATTCCCGGAATTCCGGCAGATCCAGGATCTCCTTTCGAACCAGGAGCAGCAGAAACCGACGGAGACCGAACCCGGCGCGGGGGACTCCGGTATCCCGAAGGGAATTTTGGGGGATTTGGGGGATTTTTGGGAATTTTGGGATGTTTGGGAATGGGGGACTTTGGTATCCCATGGGAACTTTGGGATTTTTTTTTTCTGGGACATTCCCTGCTGTCCCCTGCACGGTCCAGCCCCTGTTCCTGGTGGATTATCCCAATCCCACATTCCCAATCCCACATTCCCAATCCCACATTCCCAATCCCACAATCCCAATCCCATTTTTCCAATCCCAAATTCCCGTTTTCCAGGGAAGCAGCTGGTGCCCTGCAGGGTGCATGATCCCAATCCCACATTCCCACATTCCCAATCCCACAATCCCAATCCAAATCCCACATTCCCAATCCCACGATCCCAATCCCAATCCCACATTCCCAATCCCACATTCCCAATGCCAATCCCAAATCCCTCATTCCCAAATTCCCGTTTTCCAGGGAAGCAGCTGGTGCCCTGCACGGTGCAGCCTCTGTTCCTGGTGGATTATCCTAATCCCACATTCCCAATCTCACAATCCCAATCCCACATTCCCAATCCCCCAATCCCAATCCCTCATTCCCAGCCCTCATTCCCACATTCCCGTTTTCCTGGGAAGCAGCTGGTGCCCTGCACAGTGCATGAGCCCGATCCCACATTCCCAATCCCACATTCCCAATCCCACATTCCCAATCCCACATGCCCAATCCCAATCCCACATTCCCAATCCCCCAATCCCAATCCCTCATTCCCAGCCCTCATTCCCACACGCCCGTTTTCCTGGGAAGCAGCTGGTGCCCTGCACAGTGCATGAGCCCGATCCCACATTCCCAATCCCACATTCCCACATTCCCAATCCCAAATTCCCGTTTTCCAGGGAAGCAGCTGGTGCCCTGCACGGTGCAGCCGCTGTTCCTGGTGGATTCCAGCGCCGTGGACGTGGGATCCGGGGATCTTCCCATCTTCTTCGAGCTGGGGGAGGGGCCGTGCTTCCCGGACGGGGACGAGTATCCCGAGGAGTATCCCGAGGAGTATCCCGAGGAGTATCCCGAGGATCCCGCCATTCCCAATCCCACAATCCCAATCCCACATTCCCAATCCGAATCCCACATTCCCAATCCCAAATTCCCGTTTTCCAGGGAAGCAGCTGGTGCCCTGCACGGTGCAGCCGCTGTTCCTGGTGGATTCCAGCGCCGTGGACGTGGGATCCGGGGATCTTCCCATCTTCTTCGAGCTGGGGGAGGGGCCGTGCTTCCCGGACGGGGACGAGTATCCCGAGGAGTATCCCGAGGAGTATCCCGAGGAGTATCCCGAGGATCCCGCGCTGCTCCCGCGGCCGCCGCCCGCGCCCAAGGACCCGGCCGTGTCCTAAAGCCAGGATCGGGGACAGGGACAGGGACAGGATCCCAAAGGGATCCCCAGCAAGGATCCCAGGCCGGGATCGGGAAAAGGGAAGGAAGCCCCGAGTGACTCGTCCTGCTTTTCGCACAGACCCCGGAGCCGCCGCTCCCTCGGAGCATCCCGGGGAATCCCGGGGAGTCCCGGAGCATCCCGGGGAATCCTGGAGGATCCCGGGGAGTCCTGGAGGATCCTAAATCATCCTGGAGCATCCCGGGGAATTCCGGGGAGTCCTGGAGCATCCCGGGGAATCCCAGAGCATCCCGGGGAATTCTGGAGGATTCTAAATCATCCCAGAGGATCCTGGAGCATCCCAGGGAATCCTGCAGGATCCTAAATCATTCTGGGGAATCTCGGAGCATTCCGGGGAGTCCCGGAGCATCCCGGGGAATCCCGGAGCATCCCGGGGAGTCCTGGAGGATCCTAAATCATCCCGGAGCATTCCGGGGAATCCCGGAGCATCCCGGTTCCCAATCCCAAATTCCCGTTTTCCAGGGAAGCAGCTGGTGCCCTGCACGGTGCAGCCGCTGTTCCTGGTGGATTATCCCAATCCCGCATTCCCAATCCCACAATCCCAATCCCACATTCCCAATCCGAATCCCACATTCCCAATCCCAAATTCCCGTTTTCCAGGGAAGCAGCTGGTGCCCTGCACGGTGCAGCCGCTGTTCCTGGTGGATTCCAGCGCCGTGGACGTGGGATCCGGGGATCTTCCCATCTTCTTCGAGCTGGGGGAGGGGCCGTGCTTCCCGGACGGGGACGAGTATCCCGAGGAGTATCCCGAGGAGTATCCCGAGGAGTATCCCGAGGAGTATCCCGAGGAGTATCCCGAGGAGTATCCCGAGGAGTATCCCGAGGAGTATCCCGAGGAGTATCCCGAGGAGTATCCCGAGGAGTATCCCGAGGAGTATCCCGAGGAGTATCCCGAGGAGTATCCCGAGGAGTATCCCGAGGAGTATCCCGAGGAGTATCCCGAGGAGTATCCCGAGGAGTATCCCGAGGAGTATCCCGAGGAGTATCCCGAGGAGTATCCCGAGGAGTATCCCGAGGATCCCGCGCTGCTCCCGCGGCCGCCGCCCGCGCCCAAGGACCCGGCCGTGTCCTAAAGCCAGGATCGGGGACAGGGACAGGGACAGGATCCCAAAGGGATCCCCAGCAAGGATCCCAGGCCGGGATCGGGAAAAGGGAAGGAAGCCCCGAGTGACTCGTCCTGCTTTTCGCACAGACCCCGGAGCCGCCGCTCCCTCGGAGCATCCCGGGGAATCCCGGGGAGTCCCGGAGCATCCCGGGGAATCCTGGAGGATCCCGGGGAGTCCTGGAGGATCCTAAATCATCCCAGAGCATCCCATGCCCTGCAGGAGCATCCCGGGGAATCCCGGGGAATCCCGGGGAATGCTGGAGCATCCCGAGGAGTCCCGGAGCATCCCGGGGAATGCTGGAGGATACCGGGGAGTCACGGAGCATCCCGAGGAATCCCGGAGCATCCCGGGGAGTCCTGGAGGATCCTAAATCATCCCGGAGCATTCCGGGGAATCCCGGAGCATCCCGGGGAATCCCAGAGCATCTCGGGGAATCCCGGGGAATCCTGGGGAGTCCTGGAGCATCCCGGGGAATCCCGGAGCATCCCGGGGAATCCTGGAGGGAAGCCTGGAATGCCGCAGGACCCCAAAATCCAGCGGATCCCAAAATCCTGGAAGTTCACCCAACCCCAAAGCCCAGCAGTGCCTGAACCCCACAGGACCCCAAAATCCAGCGGTGCCTCGAATCCCAAAATCCAGTGGGATCCCAAAATCCAGTGGGATCCATCCCAAAATCCAGTGGGATCCCAAAATCCTGTGGTGCCACAAAACCTGGCAGTGCCCAAATCCCACGGGACCCTAAAATCCAAGGGGACCCCAAAATCCCACAGGACCCCAAAACCCTGTGGGACCCCGAAAACCTGGCACTGCCACGAGACCCCCAGAGCCAGGGGAACCCCAAAATCCAGTGGGATCCCAAAACCTGGCCATGCCCTAATCCCACGGAACCCCAAAACCCTGTGGGACCCCAAAACCTGGCAGTGCCACGAGATCCCCAAAGCGAAGGGAACCCCAAAATCCAATGGGACCCCAAAACCCCCCAGCCCCACAAGTCCCCGGTTCCAGCTTCTCCAATTCCTGCTCTGGGCATTCCTGGTTTTTATTCCTGGCTTCCTTTCGGGGGATCCCGCTGGAATTCTGGGGGATCCCACCGGAATTCTGAGGTGTCCCAGTGGAATTTTGGGGGGATCCCGCCAGAATTCCAGGGCATCCTGCTGGAATTTTGGGGCATCCTGCTGAAATTCCCGGAAATCCCTCTGGAATTCCGTGCGCTCCCGGTTTGGTGTTCCCGGATTTCCCCGCTCCGGCTCCGCTCTGGGATTCGTCCCCGGACCTCGGGATTGGGAGCAGCGACCCCAGAACTGAACTTGGGAATTTTACACCAGAGGAGGACCCGGATCCCGCGTGGGATCGAGTCGGGATTCCGTGTGGGAATGTCGGGATTCCGTGTGGGAATGTCGGGATTCCACGTGGGAATGTGTCGGGATTCCAGGCGGGATCGAGTCGGGATTCCACGTGGGAATGTCGGGATTTCAGACAGGATCGAGTCGGGATCCCGTGTGGGATCGAGTCGGGATTCCACGTGGGAATGTGTCAGGATTCCATGTGGCAATGTGTGGGGATCCCATGTGGGATTGAGTCAGCATTCCATGTGGGAACGTGTTGGGATTCCACGTGGGAACGTGTCAGGATCCCATACGGAAATGTCAGGATCCCACGTGGGAATGTTGGGATCCCATACGAGAATGCCCAATTCCCTATGGGAATGTCGGGATCCCGTGTGAGAATGCCCAAATTCCATATGGGAATGTCGGGATCCCGTGTGGGAATGCCTGGATCCCATATGGGATCCCATGTGGAAATGTCAGGATCCTGTGTGGGAATTTTGGGATCCCGTATGAGAATGCCCAAATTCCATGTGGGAATTTTGGGATCCCATACGGGAATGCCTGAATTCCGTACAGAAATGTCGGGATCCTGTGTGGGAATGCCTGGATCCCACGAGGGAATGCTGGGAATCCCGTGTGGCAGTGCCGGGATCCTGCGTGGGAATGCCCAAATTCCGTGTGGGAATGTCGGGATCCCAGGAGGGAATGTCAGGATCCCGTGTGGGAATGCCCAAATTCCGTGTGGGAAGGCTGGGATCCCAGGATCCCGTGTGGGAATATCAGGATCCAGTGTAGGAATATCAGGATCCCATGTGGGAATGCTCAAATTCCGTGTGGGAATGTCAGGATCCCGTGTGGCAATGTCAGGATCCGTGTGGGAATGTCAGGATCCCGTGTGGGAATGCTCAAATTCCGTGTGGGAATGTCGGGATCCCGTGTGGGAATGCCCGGATTCCGTGTGGGAATGCCCAAATCCCGTGTGGAAGGGCGGGATCCCGCGTGCTCTCCACGAACAGATCTCGATAAAGCACGGCTCCGCCGCCGCACGCCTGCTCCTCGTCCCGGGCGCCTTGGGAAGCTACGGAGGGGATCCGGCCCCAGGAGCTGGGATCTGGGCTGGGAGTTGGGATCCGGCCCCGGGAGCTGGGATCCGGGCTGGGAGTTGGGATTGGGCCCCGGGAGCTGGGATCCGGGCTGGGAATTGGGATCGGGCCCCGGGAGCTGGGATCCGGGCTGGGAATTGGGATCCGGGACTGGGAGTTGGGATCCGGGGCTGGGAGTTGGGATCGGGTCCCGGGAACTGGGATCCAGGGCTGGGAGTTGGGATCCGGGGCTGGGAATTGGGATCCGGGGCTGGGAATTGGGATCGGGCCCCGGGAGCTGGGATCCGGGCTGGGAGTTGGGATAGGGCCCTGGGAGCTGGGATCCGGGCTGGGAATTGGGATCCAGGACTGGGAGTTGGGATCAGGGCACTGGAACTGGGATCCAGACCCGGGAGCTGGGATCCAGGGCTGGGAATTGGGATTGGACCCCAGGAGTTGGGATCCGGCCCCGGGAGCTGGGATCCAGGGCTGGGAATTGGGATCGGGAACTGGGATTCAGGGCTGGGAACTGGGATCCGGGGCTGGGAGTAGGGATTGGGCCCCGGGTACTGGGATCCAGGGCTGGGAGTTGGGATCCAGTCTGGGAATTGGGATCCGGCCCCAGGAGTTGGGATCCTGGGCTGGGAATTGGGATCAGGGCACTGGAACTGGGATCCAG